GGGGTCCTGGTAATCTCGTTCCCTGAGATGGTGAAGCCATGTGTTGGAAGACAGGCCTAGGGCATGAGGGAGGAGTAGGGGAGGTAGGGACCTGCTGAATTCGATGGGCCTCTGGACAACCAGTTGGGTATGTTCTGAATCTTAGGAGAGAAATCTGGGCTGGAAAAAAAGGTTTGTGATTCATCAGCCTGTAATTAGTCTCAATGACTCCTCTGGTAATTGAAACCTTTGAAGTAGCTGACGTTAACTCAAGGAGAGTATCAGGTAAGAAGAGAAGGTTGATGAAGAACCATGGGGAACTTCAACATTTAAAGGAGGGGTGGGGAAGGAACCACTTACAGGAAACTGAGTGGTAGGAGAGGTCGGAGGAAAGCCTCGGGGGCGAGGCCACCTGTCCTCAGAGGTATCAGCACTGCACCGTGCTGCCTTCCCCAGGCCCTGACAGATCAGGGTACGTGGCCTAAGCCACACGGGGTCTGAATGAAGAAGCCAAGCTCTCCACCAGCTCGGCAGCCTGCCCCGTAGCCTGGTTTAGTGAAATGTTTTGAGGTATGAGAAAGATAACTTACCTTTTGAGTCTCAGATAGCAAACACGTTTTATGTTCTGATTGAATGAACTAGAATAAAAGAAGTGTTTTTCTTGGTTGACTGATAAACCGTTTGCTACATCTATGAAACGGGTGATGATACTCCCAGAATAGGATTGGGCTGTGAGGAATTAAATGAATAAATGTAAGTATCTAGGATTGTTACTGAGCAAGGGCTTGTGTGCCTGAGGTGCAGAGAGCCAAACTCGGACAGCAGGTGTTTGCAGCAAAGAGAGGGTTTATTTGCAGGGAGCCAAGCCAGGAGAATGGGCGACTGACTCATGCTCAAAAGATCCGAACTCCCCAGTGCCTTTCAGGCAAGGGTTTTTAAAGACCGCTTGAGGGGAGAGGGTCATAGGATGCATGATCAGCTCGTGGACCTTCTCATTGGCTGGTGGCGGGGGTGATATTTCAAGAATCTCAACCTTCTGGTCCCAGGCAGCCTGGGGTCTAGGGCTTGTGCTCGGCATGGAGTCACCATCCTCCACCTGGGTGGGGGTCTTAGTTTCTATAGAGCAGCTCAGAGGTACGCCCCGGATTGTTATCTGTATCCCTTCAGGACGAACTAGGAGTCCTGTGACTCTGTCATCCTAATCATTAAGTGCTTGAACCTGCTCTTTCAAAGTCACTATGGCCTAAGAGAATAAAGCCTTTTTTCTACAAACAAACAAGGGACTGAGAGGGGCTTGAACCAGGGAGGGCCCCACGGGTCCTGCTCAGGTTTCAGACCCCCCTTTCCTCTCATACTCCTCAATCCTGAGGGGAACAGGGGCAGGACAAGAAAGGGAATAAAGTTTTGAGTGGGGAGGCGAATCATAAACTCAACAGGGAGCTTAGGAGGGCTCGGTTTCACTCAAGCTTAAACACACAGTAGGGAGTCAGTAAGTGATAGTTGTTTCTGTGTGTGCATCTCTCTCTGTCTCTTTTTTTTTTTTAAACAGAGAACTTGTGTCTTCTAAAATTAAACTGTGCTGTTTTGGAACTCAAGTTTTTTATATGGCAAATTTCCATGAAGAAAAGAAAAAATGTTGTAATTATTGGTTGAATTGTGCTGTTAGAATTAGGTTCATAACAAGTAGGAACAGTGTATGATAAACTCGCAAGCAAAACAAAGCCAAAAATTGTACTTGCCTATCCCCTTGTCGAATCTGGCCCTCTGTTTCAAATTAATTAGACTTTTGGATAGCGATGCTAAACTTTGTCACATCCTTATTAAAATTGTTTAAGGATTTTGAAGAACATCTCCGAGGGACTCTGAAACCAATCTGAGTCTGGTGCTGGAGATTCCATTAGCAATCACAAAACTGATTAATCTTTTACTCAGCTAGCGTATTGATTATTGCTGCAATTACTGCATGTAACGGATTCTACGAGGGATCCCAGAGAAAACACATTTTTATACTTGCGGCTGGCGTAGTCAGTTTGAGCACAATATCTTATACTTTTTATACATAACCGTTTTTTGTATTTTTAAATGCCATTAACACTTCTACTCAAAGTGCTGTGCTTAATATTGTTTCACTCTGGGGAGGTTTGCTTTCAAATTTCTCAGCTACTAATCATTACGACTTACAAATGCCTTCACTAATTCTGCTGCTGCATTTTAATTTTAAGCTTCACAACAACCCTATGTAATAGAGAAGAAATCTGAACCCTCATTCAGAGGAAACTAAGGTTCAGTGAGGTTAAATGACTTCCTGAAAGCTATACTGGTTAAGAAGTGGCGAAATCAGGACTGGACTCCATCTCAATCAGTAAAAATTTATCCAACACCTACTGTGTGCGGGGCTTTGTGTTAGAGGGGTTATGAAAGCCAGGATAGGCTTACAGAGATTAAGCTAAGAAAGCTATTTGGATGACTTCAAATTATGGCTCAGTTAACCTTATCATGGTCACTTTGTTACTTTTCTGTCCAAGCCATCCTTGTCCTTTAGAGAATGTCGTGTAAGCAGTTGCCTGAGCTCCTAGGCCTGGTGCCACGTTGGCTGCCACCGGCTCCTCACCAGGCTTGGTCCTCAGAGGTCAGCTGCCAAGAGTGGGCCCATGCCTTGGGTTTCATCACCACCCTTTATAGTTTGTCCTCTATGGTGAGTTACTTTGCCGTGTGGAACACAAGCTTCTCTGTTAATACAAACACAGATCAAACCCAGTATTTCAGCAGGAGAAAATATTCCTTGGATTTGGAAGGATTATAGAAAATAAAAAACAACTCGTAAATACTTGCTTTGGAGAAACTGTCAAATGGCATACTTCATATCATTACTATGACTGTCTTAATCGTAGTGCAAAGAGATGTTTGTAGATTGCTAAAAAATTCTTACAATGATTAGAAAAGTGTATATAGTTTTTCCAGTTGATTTGGCACAGATCTGAAATGAAAAAGCAACCCTTTTTATTTATGTATTTTGTGAGGTAAATAAATAAAGTTGGAAAACAGGTCAATTTCATGCATGCGAGGTTTTATAGTAGGGGAAAAAAATGCATTGCACCTGTTCTGACCCTTTACATTTAAGGTTATTTGTTTTCAAACTTGACCCCAAGCACCAGTTTCAGACAACTCTATAATTAATTTGTTAGATAAAGCATAAGGATATTTTATTTGTTTTGATTTCTAGGACTGGGTTAAAGTAGTAACTGAAATTACTAACCTCTTGTACATAGCAGTTAATTAAAGAAAGGCATTAACTGTAGGAGAGCACCGCCACTGCTGTTGTCTTGTATCAGTATAAAAAGGCAGTAATTTTTTTGACAGCCACTGATTGGAAAGTTGCTTGCAGCCTTCCAGAAGCAAGGGGGTACATGCTGTGGATCAATAACCGGCAAATTTCCCATTAAAAAGAATACCTGAGCAATGTTCCAAATAGCCACTGGCATCTTAATTTTCCATGGAAACCTCAAATACTTCTGTGCTGAGGACAAGTCATTTTCGGACAATTTTTCCAGACTACTTGTTAACAGTTATTGCTGTCCCAAAAGGTTGACAGCCTACATGATTGATATTTCATTTACTTGTCATCACTGTTTGAGTAATGGCGAGCGCTATATTTCTGTGGTTTTAAGGAATATAGTTTCCTGGAAGTCATTTGCCTCAGTATGTATTCCAGAGAGGGTGGCACACATGTTTTTGCTCTAGGTATGCAAGTTTTTACGTCCATGGAAGGAGAGGATCAGTTTCCTTTTACAGTTTGAAAGCCCTTGGAGAGCAGGGGGTACCTATGTCAGTCCAAAAGCCATCAAAAGCCCACGTCCACTTTGTCTTTAGGGTGAAGAGACTTAGACTTGTCAGCTTGTGATTCCCAAGATGATGTTGAATTATATAACTCCCCTTTTATTTCTAAGGGAAAAACAAGCTTGATCTTGTAATGATTTTAATATACGTAAAAGCAGTAGGAAGACATATGTATATATCTTCTAAAAAGAAACTTCAAGAATATCAGCAAAGAATGATTGTCAGGAATTTTCTGAAAATGTGATAAACAGAAAATGTGCATGTGTTTTTTTAATATAGAAACCACGAGGATTCAAGGGCAGTTCTGCTTTGTGACAGCCCCTCAAAACACAAATTCAGTGCTTTTTATCATTGATATTTTCCACCAAGAGCATCACTGTGTTGTTTGTCAGGTGTTAAAAGAAGCAAGGGCACAGAAACCATCTCCAAGTTAGATGGACATGTGGTCACCAATTAGCGTATTAAGGAAAATGCGACTGGACCAGAATACAGCCTACTGAATGCATTTGTGTTTGTGATGGAGTGTAAAAGCTTTTTCAACTTGGAACTTTATTTTTCATGCCCAGATTTTTAAAGTGAAATTTGATCTAGAGTGTTTAGAAGACTAAAACATGAGAGGGATGCTTGCTTGAAACTAGGCAGCCTTTTTATCATATTAATCCCATCATCTTTGGGTGGATTATATCTTGTTTGTTCGTTCCACAGTCTGTACGATTTTGATTTCTATTATTGGTACATTTTATACACAAATATGAATAATGTTTGGTTAACTAACTGGCATACAGGTCCAAGCGAAATGTGAGGCATCTCCATTTTGCTTTGTAAAATCCAGGGAAAAACAACAAAAGGCAATTTGAGAAATTTCTCCTAAAATGCTTTTTGTGTCATTTTAAATATATATCATTTTCAAAATATTTCTAGGGATCAAATACAAACCTAAAGTCTCAATCAACATTTTTTTACTCTTAAAGATAAATGACAGTGTGGAGGGTAACACCATGCTGGATTTTCAAGTTTGAATATTCACTCTAGTCATTTTGATGTGCAAATAGGGAAAAAGAACTCTCAAGGCTGATATGTATATACCAGCAATTTACAAAAGTACTGTGAATTAAACAACCCATAAGTGTCTGTTTCAGTATTCATACATTACTGAGTAATCTCTTTCTGTAATCTCTTTGCAGTATTATTCCACAGTAATGGAACAGCAAGTAAATGGACAGTTAATAGAGCCTTTGCAGATATTTCCAAGAGGTAATGTTGGACAAATTCTAATCAACAGTGATTATTTCAGTAAAGTGTTTCATCAACAGTTATGTTTTCCAAAGGTTTAAATGCGCATAACATGATGTTTCGTTCTTAATTTGAAAAAACAAAGGAAGTATTCATTATTGTGGGGATTGCAGGCTATGTTATAGTTATGGCAGATAAAGTATCTAATTTACTAGAGTAAATTAAACTAACTAGATTGTTTTTTGTTTTTGAAGTACATACTTACTTTCGCTTAAAGAACTCTTCGGGGATCCACATGATTTCTAAACCAAGGCAAATGAATGGCTGTAATTTTGGATATTTATAAATTGTGGCTCAGGATGGTAGACAGAGCCTCTGTTGAGTAGAAAGCTGTCAGCTAGTGCAGAAGCCAAGGTTTACTGGGAGGTTTTAGGAGAGAGATTTTGGTGGAATGTTTCGTGCTTGATTTTGGGGGGGGACGTTTTCTAAATAGTTGGAAATCCTCACAAGTGGGAATTGTACGAAGTCTCCAAAAATAGGAGCTGATGAGAGTGAGTCTGGTGAATCACCTGGTCAAATCATTCGTGTTTCCTTTAGATTTGGTTGTATTAGCGTTGTATCAGATAGGATTGCTCGACTGTGTATCAGCATTCCCTCAAAATGTGAATAATGGTGAAAAAGAACAGTTTAATTATATAAACCATTAAGTCTTTCCCCCATTATACATTGCCCCACTTGGAATCTCTGTTTTCTAACTGATGGAACAGATAAGAAAATTATGTAAGTAAGTCTTGTAGAAATAACTTAATTGAAATAATTAAAAGTTAAACTTTCGTTAACTGATACTGTACAAATAATCATGGTATGAGGTTTCCAATTAACCATTCTAGACTTTCATTACCTGTAACTCTCTGAAGTTTGAATGGCTCAATTAACTGGTAGACTCCTGTTTGCAATGATAAAAGTCTCCAAAGGCAGCTGGCTCGTCCAGCCCATGGGAAGATGTGGATTCAAGACTAATGCTGTTCTTCTAACATTAACGTGGGGGTGGGATTAGGAATGCTTCGTACAATATTAATAATAACTTGTTAAAGAGCTAAGTAAGTAAATAAAATCGGGCCATTGATTGTGTCTGAAACAAGATTATGATTAATCCAGTTCTGTTGTACCTGAAGGCTAAAAACTAAAGCAAAATAAATTAAAAAAAGGAAAATGTTGCCATTTCTATGTATTAGGCCAATAACAGGATGCAGATTGTTTCCAAATATTTTCATGACCAGAGAATTTGGGCAAGTTTCAGAATTGTTTCTCCATAGGGAATATTTTTTTTACCAACTGAAAATTTCCATTAATTGCTTTTCTACTTGATGACTTTATAGCTCTGTTGTTGTAGCAAACCCTAGTACAGCATCCTGGAGAATTATAATTCTCACGCTATGGGTCTTCATTTTTTTTTCCCCCAAAATACTTATTTCTCTTCATGCAAAATCTTTCCAAGTTCTGTTTGTTTTATTTGTCAGCAGTCCCTGTCAGTCTCACTGTCCACACCACTGTGATAATAATGTGACAGTTAAAGCCATTTTTAGACATCATCTCTGCTCAGACACTAATGCTGCTTTGTGTGTCACCATTTCTAATTCGCCCAACACTTCTGCCTGTCATTGCTTCCATTGTATACACGAGAATATTGAAGTTCAGAGATGTTAAGTAACTTCATAGTCACACAGTTTATAAGTGGTTAATATATCCTTAGAATAAGAAGTTTGTTTAAATTCTAATTTGCTTAAAATGGAAGGGCTGTATACTCGTATGTAGGTTAAAATATTAATGGAGAGTGCATAGTTTGGAGGGCTTGGCGGCAGTGTGGAGAAGAGCTTATCGTAGGGAGAAGATTCTTTAAAGACGAAAATGCATGAGATGTGAGTATCCCGTGTAAGTCCTAGCACAGGGCCCCCCAGCCTCCAATAAATTATTAAATGTAGTTCTTCCAAGCCACGTTTAATCTCTATGGTTTTTTGTATAATACTGTAAAACTCTTTTTAGCTTTTTACAGTCTTTTGCTTTTTGCTTATTTATCTACATATAATGTAGGTTTAATCCAATTTTATTTTTAATATAATTTATATAAATCTTATAGAAAGTCTTTTTATAAAGTATTAATAAATATGAACATTCACTAGCTTTATAGTAACTTCTGACTCTACAACTGTAGGAAATATGAGATTACTGGGTTTTTTGAATACTGCTTAGATTTCCAATCATAAAGATTTTAAGAAGCCAGTTGAGGAACGAGGGCGATGCTAAGGTAGGAGATAAGAGTTGATGCTAGTCTCTGATTCCTTGGTTAGCCACTTTCTTACTAAGTGAAGTTTAAGGATGGCCTGAATACTTCAGAGGAAATGCTCTGCAGTGTTGTCTTTGGAAGTATTAATGACCTGTAAAGGACCAGGCATCAAATGTATGGGACTGTTGATTTGTTCAGGAAGTTAATTTTCATTTTAAGGGAAGAGGATTTGGCATCTTAATTTTAATGTATTACAGAAAAACAAATAAAAAAATTCTTTATTGAAGCTTGGAATTTTCTTTTTAGGAAAATAACAGAATAAATTTGAATATACTTGAAATATACAAAACTAAAGCAACTGGCATGCTTTGTAATTATTACCCACATCTTATTATTATTAAACAGCTCTATTTCTTGGCAGAAACAGAGGAAAATACATGTACATCTGAGAAAGGAGTGGAAAAAAAATCAAATTCATCCTTCCCTAAACAATCAATCAAAATTGACAGCCCCTTAATATGCAGTATGTAGGACACGGTAGTTTTCAGATGGAAGCAGCCTATAACACGGGCAGGAAGCACTTTATATAATTAACATTTGATGAAGAAGTATTTGTTGAATTGGAAAAGTACTAACTAAGCTGTAACTCAAGATAGTGTCAGGGAAGTAACACTGTTTTTCCTGGTACTGCTTAATCTTTAGACTGAAGTATTGGCAGATGTCAAGATTTGCAAGAAATATAATGAAATTAATGATATCTCTATATTTTGAAAAATTTGACTGCTTATTGCTGTGCAAACTAGTTATCCAACTTATGTATTTCATCTTAGAATCTCTAGCAATCTTTTTGGCATTAAAAGACCCTTCTCCCTTTCCCCTCCAAAGACCGTAGCTGTTTCAATGTAGTCTAAGTGATAGCAGATATACAATGTAATAGAGTGAGGAAAGATTGCAGGAATTTGAATTATGAAAGGAATCTAATCATTTTAGCTCAGTTAACTCGATTTTTATATGTTTTAAGCAGAAATTGGAATTTATATGAGGTGGTGTCAGAAAGCTCTTTGCATTTATAAATGCTCACTCCTGCAAGTTAAAAACCCTGGTTCATAATTCCCACTTTGGGTCTTGGGAGCCACTTTTCAATCATTTCTCTCTGCTAATTTTGGTGTCACCCTCATTTCTTTTTAAACGATTCATTTTGAGCAAATTTGTAAATGGCCCTGATGTGTTCTACAATTTAGTCAATTACTGTTTCAGCCTGCAAGCCTCCTGGGGAACGGAACATACATGGCCTGAAGGTACGAATTTCAATAATTGTTTCAGTAAAGTTAGATGGATTTGTAATGCTGTGTTCCACTTATTGAAATGTCAAATAAAACTGCACTTTCTCAAGCTCTGACAAGCGATCCTTTTTTTTTTTTAAATGGGAAGTGGAGGGGGATTCATCTGTAGTATTTGCTCAATATGTGTATATATTTGGATACAGGGATTTTGGTGCCTTTTTTTTTTTTCATTTGAAACTGTTTTGGTCTGTTTCTTCAGGACCTGGGTGCTGGTCTCCACAAAGATTTATTTGCGTGAAAATATAGACTTCATTTCAGTGATTAATTAAGCACATAAGCATATTGCACACAGAATACCCCCCTCTTCTTTTGACATATTTATGCTAGAAACATATATCTATTTAATGTCCTTTCATTGTTCTGCGTGTTTTGAATTCTGGGTTTCTGCTTAAGGCTTTACATTTGAAAGAAAAACTGGCTGTTGTATTAGACTCAAGCATTTTATAATTAATTACATGGAGCTCATTTTTCAGTGAAATAACATTCTGCAGTGTTCTGCTTGGTTTTAGAGCTGGAGGAATATAATAACATGGGGTTCACTACTAACTCCTAAATGTGTTCTTAATATACTTTTTTGAACATACTGTTTTTATATATACAACAAATCCATGAATTGTATTTTTTCCTCTAGAATTGAATTCAGTTCTAGACAGTGAGTTGAAAATTTCCCGTTTATCTCTCCCTTTTTCAGCACCGTTTTAATATTTGAATAATGACAGGAAGAAAGCATTATGTAATATACAGGTTGTACATTTCTGTAACCTATATACTGAATAGACTCCAACCACAGGTCTATTGAGCAACAAGCTAATTAACCTTCATAGTGAAATGAGAAATTTGTGGCAAATTATAGGTTAATTAGAACTGTGTCCTCAGAACACAGAACTGATCAAGACTCTTTCTTTACTCGTAGGTGAACACCCGGGCAGGACCCTCTCAACACAGCAGCCCAGCAGTCTCAGATTCACTTCCAAGCAATAGGTGAGAGCAAGCAAGTGAAGCGTGCCCATAAGCATGAGTATCTACAGTGAGGGGGTGGGGTGGGGAAGAGGCTTGTGGGACGATGCCTCTTTCCTGTAGGAACACAGAAGTGTGTATGTGACTAAGGAGAAATCTGACCGAGGGGGTAACCCTAGCTATGTACTGACGAAAAGAAAGGACCTCATAGAGAAAGATAAAATTAGACACACTGAACTATTAATTTTGGTGGAATGGCTTTCCTTCAGTCTCCAAATTGTACAGAAAATCCAGTGCGTTTGACTGTTTATGCTTTAATGACCTGTTTGTATAATGCATATTACTTTTGTGTTGCTTGTCCATCTCTTGGCAGTGTCGTGATCCTCTAACACCTTCCCCAGAAAGAGGCAACGAAAGTGTAAAGTGGTGACATTTAAGTTCACCAGACAAGCTGCTCGTTTTTGTGTCCTTGGCTATACAAGAGATTGAACTAGTATAGAAGGAAGATAATTTTTATTAATTCATGCTAATGTTGTCCCACAACTGGGATGCATACTGAAGACTTGAGACTCTCCGAAGTGTTCTTCTGACAGGCCTGAGAACTTACTGCCAGAACATTAAGGTTCTCAAGCATCGGGACTTGCTTAAGCTGATAGAATTGTAGGTCATGTTTGTTATACACTCAGTTATTCAGCTGGTCAACATCATATTACTGTACTTGAAGATGACACTGTGAGGGTGATTGCTCTGTGTGTATGTATTCACACTGGTGGCTGAAAAGCCAACACCGAGCCAGAAAACCTTCACTGTGTGCCCAGGTCTTTCTGGGTTTAGGGCAGCAGCCAGTGTTTGCATCTGTGTCTGCTGAGATGTAGTTGAGGCTTCCGCTTTCCCTTCCATGCCCCTCCTTACCCCTTCACCCAGCTTCTTGGTTCTTCCGCTGCCAGGCTTTACTGCAGGCAATTTAAAGTGTCTCTTTCTGAGTCTCTCTGGTCTCCTGTCCCCTCCCGAAAAGTCACTTCTTTGATTACCTTTTGGTAGTGTCAGTATACCTCCCTGTGGCTTTTCTGCTATGAACACACTACTCTTAAAGTGTATTTCCTTCTTAAACAATTTGCTCTGTCTTCAGACACATCCCCTGGTTATTCACCAGTAGATCATGTGTCTTTTGGTCCCAAGGGGTAGGTCTTTTCGTCCTCATCCAGCCAGTTGGCCCTGCCAGGCGATGCTCAGTGGCTTCTCTCTTCTGTCCTGTTGGGCATGTGAGCCATGGCCCACCGAGTAGAGGCATGGGGACTGAGGTGTCTTGTTCCACTCAGCTCAAAGAGTGCAGGGCATTTAATTCTTACTGCTGCTTCTAGAAAAGATGTTATTCAGACAGACTGACTAGGAGCCGTAGGGGAAAGCAGGGACTTTTCCTGGTGTTTTAGATCAAAGTTCATCATGGTGTAACAAGCAGGACGGAGGGAAAAGTTGGTAAGAGAGATCCAGCAGTGTAACATTCCGATCTCTCAGATTTGGTTTTAACCAAAACCCAAGTGAATTAGCCTGATTTTTAAAAAAATTATTATTTATATTCACAGAGTATTAAAATCTTCAGGTTGAACAGAGACCGCCTATCTAGTGGTTCTCAGCCCTTTGTTGCAACGTCTCCCCTTAGGGGTATGACAGCCTCCCAAATAGTAATGGCAGTTTGCCCCAGGAGTGACTTTTATTATGGGAGGAATGCAGTTTGAAAAAGCCCCACAGGTGATTTTAATATGCCGCCCTAGGTTGACCATGTTCTGTTCTCCACGTTGGTAACAAATCAAAAGTATTTACTGAGTGCCTCCTGTTTATCTGGTGCTGTCCTACCCTCTAGGAATACAGTGTGATCCTTATTCTCTGGAGCTTGCTGCATACAGACCAAAAAAAAAACCCAATATATAAGTAATTATACATTATAATTAGTGTTATGAAGGGAACAAGCAGATTTTGAAGTGAGAGAACACGGGGCAGGAATGTGTTTAGATTTAGACTGGGTGCCCAGGTGAGTGACATTCCACCTCGTCCTAGAGGATGAGAAGGACCTCACCACGTCAAGAGTCAGAGAAGGCACATCAGAGGGTGGGGAGAGCCTAAGTGAAGGCCCTGGGGTGGAAATGGAGCTCCGCATGTTCAGTTTGGCTGGAGCACAGGGGGGTGGGTGGGAGAGGGGGTAGAACAGTAGGCGTGATGGGAGAAAAGGAAGTAGGCTGGAGCCCGATCACGTGGCGCTTGTGTTTAAACGTCCCTCTCAGTGTGTTGGCTAAGCCGTTGGACGGCCTTCAGCAGAAGAGCGGCCATGGGCAGTTCTGTGTTTCTGACTCTTTGCCTGTGCTCCGGAGCGTGAGAAGGGGAAGCCTAACCTAATCCTGCTCTCCTTGGGGTCCGACTCCCCGCTGCGCCAGACGGTCATCCCAGCTCTTCCCGAGCATCCCTGTGGCAGGAGTGCACTTCACTGGCAGAGACAGTCGTCCCATTGTCTGTGGCTGTGTGTCAGAACGTTCTTTTTCATGAGCTGAGATTTGTCTCCCTTTAGCGCCCAACCATGAAGATTGAGTTTAGCCCTCAGAACAGGGCTGTGCCCTCCTCTAGATGATAGCGCTTCCAGTCACCTTCCTTCCCAACATGCTTCTCCTCCTGCATGTCCTGTCTCAGTGAATTCTCTGACATCCACCCTGTTAGTTGCTGACTCCAGCTGACCGGCCTCCTGGGCCTCCCTCAGCCCCACGTCCAGTCAGTCCTTACATTTGTAGGATCTGCCTGCTGAGTCACTGTGCAGTCTGTCTACTTGCCAGCACCTCGGTTGCTGTACAAGTCATTCAGGCTTTCAGTATCACTGCTACAGCGTCCTAATAGTCCCCCGCTTCCGTCCTGCCCCACCGCAGTCCCTCTGCCACAGAGCAGCCACGGTGATCTTGCTGATGCGTGTTCTGAGCCCATCACCCCGCCTTTTACTGCTCCTCGGCGCAGACTGTACCCTTCACGGCAGGCCAGCAGTGGCCTCCCACACGTGGGGCCTCTGCCCGCGCCAGTCCCTCAGCCTGCCACTCCTTGTCTTCCAGCTGCTCTTCTGACTTTGCTGGTGGATACGTGGTACCCTGAATGGATCGCATTTCCTCTCATGGCTGGGCCTTCACTTCTGCTGCTGCTGCTTTCTTGCTTTTTTCTGCCTTTAATCCATTCCCTTCTTTGCCTTCTAGTCTGGCTAACCTTGGTCATCTTCGAGGAACAAAGCTGTTGTCTTCTTCTGAAAACTGTCCGAGATTATTACCCACCTCCCAGTCTACACCCAGTACCCATTCCATGAACTTCCATCATCTCCCTGTGCTGGCTTTTACTGTAGCAGTTAGCACATTACATTAACACTCACCTCTGTCCCCCAGGAGATTCGTACTCTCTGAGGGCAGTGACTGTAGCGTATTCATTCTTGAATTCCCAGTTCCCAACATGATGCTTGGGTAAGTGATTAGATGAATGAATTTATAGTCCTTTTAAGTCTTGTCTTTGGATTAAATTCTCCCAACTCATTCAGCTTTTCTGATACATTTTTTCTGCTCCCCTCACCCTTTTACTCTTATTTGGAAATCTCAGTGTCCCTCTTAAAGCATCATACCCAGGTTACAGTTGTATCACATTTAAACTTTAAAATGTTTTTAGTGCATGACGAGGTACTGGGGATTGAACCCAGGAAAGAAAGAAAGAAAGAAAGAAACCTAATTCCCCCCACCCCCCAAAAAAAACTTTTAAAAAAAAGTTTTTTTTTTAAAGTGATTTTTGGATAGCTCAAGTCACTGTGACCATGAAGATAAACAAAACATTGAGTAAACTGGGCCACAAAGAAATTGCCAGGATATATAAATACAATTTTTTTTTTAAAGAGACCAAGTTGGTAGCCAGATACTGGCATAATGAATGAAATCAGGTTTTTTTCCCTCTGTTACTCTCAAAGCATGAATCGGTCCTTGCCTTCGGTGGATGACTGTTTTTTAAACTGAGCTTACTAACCCGCACGGTGTTCCTGGGCCTTAATTACTGAATTCAAGTCCTACTGCCGAGGCACGGCCTTTCCTGAGCATCTTGGCTTTCTCTTTCAGTACAATTGGGATGATTAAACTTTCCATCTATCTACCTCTGGTGTTAGGAAGATTGATGAAGCTGTATTAAGGAGTCACGTTTTGTTTCTTGGATGAAAGGTGTTTCGTAAATGCAATGAATCAAAATGTTATTATTTCAAGTTGCATGACATAATGGAATATCTGTGGAGAAACATCGCCTGGGCATTGCTTGGTTATTTCTATTTTTACAATAATTGCAGATATTAAATTGAGACCATTTATGGGAATACAAGGATCCAAATGTTTCCCAGGGGGGAAAAAGAAAGTATGTGTTTGTGTAAGAGAGACAGACTGACTTTGTGCAAGGTCTGTACCTTACTTTTCTTTATACACCAGGAGTAAGTGTATATGCCCCACAGGTTACTGTGAGGCTTAAATCAGGGTGGTAAGTAATAGTATTTAGCACAGTGCTTGGCACATGCGCATCACTCAGGAAATGGTAGAGACTAATTTTTTTTTTCCCCCAACTTGACTGATTTTAGGCAGTTGTTTATTTTTTGGTATATATTTCAGCTTCAGTCCCTTTCTGCAGAATTTTTAACTGCCATTTCAGTGCATGAATTCTTAGACTTGGGAGGACATTACTGAAGTTTAGAGCCATTGGTGGAGGGCACATTTTATAAAATCTGGAGAAAGTAGAGACTAGGCCTCCATAGTCTGCATTTATCCATAGCAAAAGTTTAAGAAGTATTTAGAAAGAAAAATAATTATAACTTGGAATGGTAAGTGTGGTCAAACTTGTAATCTGCAGTTTTTTTTAATATAACATATTAAGGGCACCAAATGAATGTGTGTGTGTTACCACCGTGTAATAACAACCAGAATAATGATCGCCATTTGTCAAACACTTAGTGTGTGCCAAGTCACTGGGCTAGGTTCAGGGGTGGGAAGGAAGTGGAACATACAGAGGGGTAAGATTTGGTCTGTGTTCTGAGGGAGCTTCCAGCCTTAGGGGAGCAGATGGTGGGAAGAAAGACATCCACAGATAACTACCAAAGGGAGGAGAGTTAATTTAGCAGGAGGGTAGGGGGTTAGAGTACACGGATTAAGGACAGAGTTACCAAGCTTTAAATTTCAAATTAAAACACTGATGGGAGGAGGTACTACTTTATACACCACTTTGCTCACTGGATGAATGTGTACAGGTGTGTGTAACTCATTATAAAGCTAGAAGGACGTCACAGACAGTGTCCTTTGGCCACGCTCCTTAAACTCATCCGCATAAGTGTTTACATAGTCATGTATGTTCCATATTTCTCACATAGCTCTGGAAGCTGGGTCTCATACCTACAGGAAAGGAAAGGAAAGAGAAGGCAGCTAAACTTGATTTAATACCTTCTATGTGCAAGGCACAGTGCTGGGGCTTTGTGTAATATTTAATTTTCTCGGTTACACTGTGATGTTGATATTTCCCCCATTTTATAGAAAGAGGAAGTCGAGGCTCAGCGAGGACAAGTATCCTGTCGCAGAGCACACAGCTAGTGAGTAGCAGGGTTTATTTCTGCTACGCATTTGCTTCCCAGTAAGCAGAATTGTAACTTTTAACTATAGTGAAAAATCAGGACTTAAATTCTTTTATCTTCTGGAGCCTGTAATCGTCGCTGTGAGCGTTCTGTCGGAGGGCCTTGTTAAGTACTTGGTGTTTAGCAGATGACAGAGTCTACGTAAAATAGCCACTCGTAGGCCACCAAAAGGCACCAGAACTAATAGCAGAAAGAGGTCTCTGGACTAGTCCATACGATATTCTAGTTTCATCACGACAGCGGGCTTCTTTCTTGCTTTGGATTACCAATGGGGTTGCAGTCCCTTTATCAATACCTTTGCCACTTGGCCAGTTACTTTTGAGAATATTTTATCTAGGGAGAAGGATGTAAAGAGTGTAGCCCATGTCTACCCCTAAAACTAAAGTGTCTTTTAGTCTGAAATTTTCAGTGGTGTTCAAAGGTGTTGACAGACTTGCCATTAAACATTATGTCTTTTCTTTTCAGCTTAAAGAAGTCTTCTGCTGAACTGAAAAAAATATTAGCCAATGGCCAGGTAGGTGTCATTACATGCAGCAGTAACTTAGTGCTGTCCAGTTTTTGTATCCATAAACTTAATAAACAGATAAAGGGGCTGTGAATTTCTTCGTGTCATAAGTGAATTCCATGGCTTAATTTGATTGGCAGAACAATTTGCAGCACGTTTTGCAAACTGTGCTAATGGGTTTCACTCCCACCAGATTGTAGTACCATGCGCACACCCTGCTGCCAGCTCAGTTTAAAAAGAGTTAATCAGTTCTGAACAAGTGTGTCAACCCATGGGTTGTGGATATGGCCCTGCATCCTGAGGTGACTGTTTCCTTCATTATCTTTGGGGAGAAAAAGAAAAACTGTCCACTTTCTCATCTTGGTTCCTTCTTTTGTCCTGAAACCAACACTGGCTTTTTAGGGGAACCGAGTCACAGCAGACCTTTGGCATTGAGAATTCCTGGGCTTCCAGAGCCCTCAGTTTGCCTGGTTGACCGGCCATCTGAAGCCGACTGACCTCCCCCAGCCAGGGAGGGACAGACGGGCCTGCGGGCCAGTTATTTCTCGCTAATTTTGATTCAACTAAATGGACACATCTGAAATAGTCTAGTGCTTTTAAACATACACTGGTAAATTAAGCTACCTACAGGGTCCTCGATTCTTCACTAGCAACATAAATGCGTTTTAATGTTTGTTATAGAGGAAGCCCTTTGATAGCCTCGGAGGCAGGCGCCTGTCCGTTGCGATCAAGCCTGCCTATTAGGCTCTATTGACTGAGACATCTGTGTCACCGCAAATAAAAGACTCTTATTGATTTTCTTAACTGCTGTTCACTTCCCGTCCATGTTTCGAAGGCTGAAATCTTAATTATCTCAGATGCTTATTCAGTGCCTTCACACGCTGACCTCTCCAAGCCTCATTGGCATTTCATGAATCAAGTACTTGTAGTGGGGCATGTCAGGAAGACAGAGCTGGGTCCTCATGTTTGTCCTTTAATATCACCTGTAACTTTGCAGCCTAAAGAGGTGTACACGCCTCAAAATGGGGACTGTATGGTGGTGCATCTTTAGCACGTAATCCCTTGAATATAGTTCGAAAAAGGACGTTGATTTTGACTTCTGATCATCATCTAGAGTGTGTGAATTCAGGTCCTTAAATATTCTGTGTACAGCTAAGGAGAGTCTGGTGGTGTATGCATAATCTTAATGGCCTCAAACATTTTAGGTACATTAATAGTACTTTTAACTCTAAGCAGCCAAAGGTTCGTTTAGATTGAGGTCCACATATATGTCTTCCTAGTGCCTGGCGTCTTTTCAGAAACATGAAACAAAACCTGGCCAAAAGCAGAAATATCGAGCCTAGGATATTTATGCCTCTTCAACCGGCTTGCATTCTAGTTACTAACTGTAATTTATGTATGAGTCACTTGTGTTGTTCAGCTGGAAAATATATTTCAAATTGACATAAATTAAGAAGCTTTAACTACATTTGTTCAACCCAGGCAATGGAAAATAACCTGTCATAGATTCCTCTTTCAAAAATGAAAAACAGTTTATTTCCAGTGCAAAAAAAAAATTCTGAAATGTTCCTAATGTTCTGACATCAAACGGAGTACCATAAATATCCTAGTGGTCTCAGTTAGGTTCTCTCTGGTGGGAGATTGTCATGGCAGTGGTTTTTGACACTTAAAGATTGTTTATAGCTTTCCCTGGGCAGTGTGCTAACCCCCACCTCAAACAGTATGGCATATCCTTTCTTTTAAGGATTAGCCTTTATTGCGTTTACTGTCATTCACAAAAACAAATGAAACAAAACAAAGAACCCCCACCTTTGGAAGTCCTCGAAATACCTCCTCCTGATCCTAATTCCTCAACCCTTGGTGCAATCGGGTAACTAAAGAGTGAACGAGATTGCACTGCAGTGAGGTAATGGGCAGTTGAGACGTCAGTAAATTTCCGGGCTGAACACTGACACCACTTGATATGGAAGATGTAAGTCACATTTAACGATACTTTAACACTTGAGCGTAGTTTTTTATTTTAGTGGTTTATGCTCTCAAGCATTAATAATGATTTGCCTTTCCACTAGTCTCCACTTAGATTTAATAAGGAATTCATATTAATCATTAAAAGAAAGGGACATGATTCTTCAAGATAATCAAATATTGACAGGTTAGAAATAGCTTTCTGCCTGGGTTCATTGATATAGGTTATGTGATATAAATATTTATTTCTTTTCTGTCACTCAGAGTAAATGCCACCAATTGATTCAGCATTGATATAGTGTCAACAGTTCATAAGAAACATTTGACTGGCTTGTGTTTTCCGATTAGTCTCTGCTCTATAAAGTGGGATTTACTAAATCTCTCCAATTGTCTGCTCATAGAGTGTGACTGCTTTCTGAAACCATTATTGCTTCGATTTGTGAAGCAAAGGTCTAGTGATAGGACTGGTTTCTGTCAGACCTTTACATATAAAATAAGAATTAATTGAGCATTTTTGTTTTAATGATTTATAAGCGATAGGTACTGATTCTTCTTAACACAGGCAGACAATAAACAAAGAATATTTTCTTTGCTGATCCATAATTGAATTCCATTTCATTTTCTCCATTAATTTCATTAATACTATATTAAATCAAACACTTTTTTAAAAGTTTAACATTTTGTCTTTCCAATGGAGACATTGTTTTTCTGTTATCCCTTTATGATGGAGGATTCCTTTTTTTCCAGCTTAAAAAAAAACAAATCATAAGGTATTTTTGGCATATTTTATTGAGAGCTGTAAATCAGTACCACTGATGTGTTTTCCGGATGTGTTTTTTGCATTTCAGTCTTAGTGTGGTATCATCTGTTTAACATTGGTCCTTGATTTGAAACTGATTAGAAATGGCTCGATGGGTCAATCTAAAGAATTAAAAAAGTGCAGTTACTCCAAGGATGTATGACTTTGACCTTTGCATCTCTAAAGTTGTTTTTCCTCTGTTTGTTTTTTATAATTTGTGGGAGAAGGTGACAGTTGTTTTTTTTTCCTATTCTTGATAAATCAAGTATAAACATACTGACAAGTCACAAATCTAAAAATAATTCTAATCCTGCCTCATGTTTGGGTTTTTAAGAACTTCAAATGCCTTTAGAAAAACTTTTTAGAAAAAAGAAAAAAGGGAGGAAGAAGAAAAATAGGTATTCTACTGTAAAATTAGCTTTAAAAGCTACACTATAACCAGTATATAAAACTCTTAGATTCTTATTATTCATTTCAGAGCCCATATGAAGACTGAAACATAGATGTATAATTGTGTATAACTGTGTGAGTCCAAACTACACGACACCTCCTCAGCCCACCCAGACACAGCCTTTCCGCCCTGTGGGTTGTCACTTCCCCTGCCTGTTTCACCAGCGGTGGAGCCCAGGTCATTTGCCGTCTTGGCAGTTGACACTTAATTGTAACTCTCAGGGCTTTTTCTTCCTTCTCCTTCACATCTATTATTCTGCCTTTTATTTGCCTTTTTTTTTTTTAAGTCATAACAAGGAAACCAACTTTGGTATCTTTATTGAATAAAAACTTTCTTTTACCTCTTTTTTTCTTTTAATCTAAAGAGCTATATGATTTCTCTTCTTAAAACTCATTACCGTAGTTGCTGAAATTGCTTTTCACTTTCGAGTGCCCTTCAGTTGATTGTTTTCCTTCCGAAGGGCCAGTGACCAGTGTTGGAGAGGATGTCACTCCATACTTACACACGGAATCAGCTGCTCAGACAGGGCACTGGGCAAAGTGCGCTGAAAGGCTGAGTTCTCACCTTGACTAGTTGTTGCTGACTAGTTATATGACCCAAGCAAATGGGGCTACATGCTTAAAATACTGCAAAATTCTGTGATTTTTATAATACTCGATCCCACCTGTAATATTGAAATGGTCTCTATAGGCTTGTAAATTCCACTTTTGTATCATAATGAGCACTATTCCTTTGCTTCACTTTGAAAAGTTGAATTAATATGCTTTTGTATACTAAAAAGGCAAAAATGTTTTTAGCTGTGTGTTGATCCCTTTAATGATTTTTTCATAGTTGAGATAATCAAAGTAACCCATTTTGATCAGAGATATGAAATTCTCAAAATTTGTTTATAATCAATTCATGAGCTTGACCCTAATAGTTTTCCTTTTCAAAACTTTTTTGACATGAATAATATTTGTATACTCTATAAAAAAAATAGAAGATTAAAATAAGCAGAAAGAAAAAGAGTCTGATATTTTTTAATGGAAAAATCTATCAATCACATTCACAGGCCAGGCAATGTCTATATAAAATTTTCAAACATTGTAGAAACACTTAATTTTTTATGGCTGCTGTCTTTTTGAGTGGCATAATTTTAATTTTTTATGGCTGCTGTCTTTTTGAGTGGCATAGTTCTAGAACTTGTTCTTTAAAACCGTTTTTATCTTTATGAGACTCCAAATCTTCCTCATTATCTGAGGGCTTCCTGATTTCCACCCTCGAATTTGCTTGCACATTGCATTAGTGCACACACACGCATGCGCATACACGTATGCACACACACACACGGCACATGTGGGACAACGTCTACAGCATCCTCCGACTCTCTGGAGCTTTCAGCTTATTCCCCGCCTTTTTCTGACGTCTGCTGCCCCTGGTTAGGCTGCAGTGCTGGTGGGTGACAGCTCCACCAATGGGTATTAAAGGTAGAAAAGACGATGATGTTGGGGTTATAATGGTTGAAGCTGCTCAGAGACCTACGTACCCCTTTGCCTTCTCTTCCTCCAACAAAATACCACAAAATCCAGCCCCCTCCACAGTCCAGGTCTATTGCAGTGTACTACTGGGACTGTGTAATATCAGTAAGTTTTGCTGCTTATATTTTTCTGGGAGGAAATTACTGGTCCTTTAACCTGGAAGACTGATGGAGTGGTGGAGGTGGAGGGGATGTCATCGCAGATTTGGGCTTTCCGAGCCTAGATCTATAGCTACATCCTGCTTACCCTTAGATCTCAGTGCCACTAATTCAGAATTTGTAGACTCGAGTGAGTGAAATTTCTCCTAGAAATTTACTTCCAGCCGTGATGAGGGCGCAGCTTGTTAGGCAAGTTAATAGTACAAATTAGGCTATTAGGTTGTGAGTCATGTTTAGACTACCTTGAGGAATGTTTTCAAGGAATTAGCCTATTTGTACCCTCCAGCAGATCCTGCTGTTTACATGCGTGACCTTTATACCCATTGGCCAAAGTCAACCCAACAGCAGCTCTGCTGGTTTAGCATCTCAAGGTACTTCGTGTGTCACCTTTTTTTATGCTGTTTTAAAAGTTATCATTTGGTCCAGAATAATGAGATTTTCTTTTCTTCATGCCATGTATTTTACACAGGTTAAAATATGGTTTGTTTTTTCTGTGTAAGCGATATAAAGGTATTGAAGAACAGAATTTCCCTCAAATAGGAAAATAGGAGCCAGTTTTTCTGACTTGTCTGTCATTTTGCCTCTGACCCTAAATATAGTAATTAGCTGATTGCAAATTACATCAATCAGGTTGTACTACAGTTAAATTGGGTGCTGAATTGGCCTTTACACATTAATCTGTCAATATTCTTTTAAGGTTTGGCAAAATGGCTTGGAAAGGAAGCTGTTTCTGTTACCTGCACTGTATTCCTAATTATCACAGCTCTCTGAAGCTTCAACCTCAGAAATATATAGAAGAAAAATATTTCCCTTGATAAATGGAGTCTTGCTTTATTCAATTGGTGGAAGTTTAGAGTAGAGCAAAAATATTTAAAGCTTTACTATAATGGTCTGAAAGCAAACTATTTTTTTCCAGGTGATATTGAATTAAAAACTCCATCCATTTTCTGCCCATGCAAGGCAGTGCAATTCCCTGGAAATTGATTTTTTTAGGGCTTACTATGGCTTTTCCCAAGCTTTAGCTATATGGAAAATAACACCTTTATTGAATCCACTTAGTGAATAAAGTTGGCAGTTAATTTTTAAGCAACTGGACCAGTGAGTAGAAAATTGCTGAATGCCTCAAATATAATCTGACTAATCTTAAAGTCATTTGATAAATAATTACTCAGGGAGTTCTTCCAAACTCTAAAACATTATTTTGTGGATTCTGAAATAATTCACTACTATTCACGATGCAAATGGGAGTAGTATTTGTGGTATAATAGTTTTACAGGAACTGGGGAAATGTGTATACTGTTTAATACAATAAATTACCAAAAAGTGACTATTTTACATGAATCACGTGCTTATATGCTTTCCTTTTATGCTTTGTAATATTTGACGGTATGTGCATTTGAACGTGTACTGATTTGGCACTTTTCCATGAGTATAATATGATTTCTACCCAGCTATTGCTGTGTACTATTTTATCATTTTTAAAGAAAAGCTGTATCTACTCTAGGAAAGGCATTAACATTATTCACTTAGTTTGTTTAATGTTAATTAGAGGGTCACTTGAGGAGTTTTCGGGGGCTGATTTATTTACAGATCCTGCATTAGATTACTGGTTGTGTGTGTGTGTGTGTGTGTGTGTGTGTGTGTGTGTTTTGTCTTCCCAAGTTTGACTTTGGTTGTGTGCAGTGCTGTTTGGCGGTGGTTATACGTAGTGCTGGAGATTGTGTTCTTATCAGTATCTCTGACCTGACCCTTTTGAGCTATGTTATATCATTCCATTTTGACACCTTTTATCAAACTTTAATGAAATGACCCAGGCAAACAAATTGTCATTAAACTTTCCATCACTTTGTCCCTTGGTATCGTCTTTTATAAATTGGACAGCAAATGTTGTATTGATCTTCTCGTTCTCGCAGCTGAACTTGAAATGACCCAGACTGCTTGTTGTTTATGGCCCAGAGTTGCTTTTCCTTGACATTTCCATCCACAGCATGACACCCTTTTTGTTTTTCTTTCTTTCTTGTGGAGATGAATGAACAAGACATACGGTATCGAGACACTCTTGGTCATGGCAACGGAGGCACAGTCTACAAGTGAGTAGTCAATTTTGTTTGAACTTTCTGTCCACTTTTGCCAAATGTGGGTATCCAGGTTCTCTATGGCAAAGATTTTTAAATGACCACCAGCGCTTAGATTTTATTTCCACATTTGACTCCAAAACTCTGCAAGGCATCTATTTGCTCAGGAATTGCTTGGAAAAGTGCATTTATATTGCCTTTTTAATATTTCTGCATCTGCATCTCTCCTGGGTGAGCATTTAATAGTCCACATTAGCAAATGTACCTTTAACTGGCCTGAAGTTTAATGCATTTTTTCCTTTATTCTTTAACATCGTTTTTTGTCTTGTTCTGTTTTTTAACTTGCTGGCACCCTGTGTTAGTCCTCTGCCTGTTTACAACTATGCCCAGTGGAAGACAGACCTTATAGATACCATTGCTTTGCCCTGTGTCGACACTCAGTTATTAAAAGCCTTCTTCCTGTTGTATTTCCTTCTCTCCTCACCCTACTCCCCTGGGAGAATTTCTACACATTGATGAATATGTTAAGTTATAAAACTCTCCCAAATTCCAGCTGCAGTGATCTTACCCTAAAGCGGTGTTCATTTTCATATTAAAAAAAAATGCTAACCATAAAAAATAGTTCTCTCGACAGGGAAGTCTTTCTCATGCAGCAGTCCAAAGTTTAAACTACATAATGTAATATCTGATACTTAATAGTCTGCAATGGTGTATGAAAAATATTCCACTAGGAATTAAAAAATCCATACTCAGTAAAAAAGCCCTGAGGGAGTAATAAAGCTTTTCTCCAGAGAGCTGTTTTCCATGTGTACACTAACCTTGCATCACATTATGACTGTGTTTTCACCTAAGATACTTTACCATTGATATTAGTATGTATTTTCAAAGTCATAAAATAATTAACTTCTGTTTTAATTGGTTACTAATGTTCTTAGAATTTTAAGTTCTTATTAACCATGTGAATAAAGATAAAAATTACCCTCTTAAACATGAGCATGAAAGGTCACATCCTAAAATCCAAGAACAGCCTAGAACACCCTCCACACAGATGAAGCCTTGGCAGAGAGCTAGATTTCTCAAGATGGGAAGCTCCTTCAGAGTTACCCGCTCCAGCCCCCACCCAGGGCTTCAGTCCTCCCTGTAGATAGAGCCAAGATGTTGAGTCCTTTCTCCCGAGTATAGTCCTTTAAGAACTTATGTTTACATATTTGGATTGTTTTTTCCTAGAGATTGTGAATAGTTGGTCTGGAAGTTAAGTGCTTCCACGATGATAGATAATTCAGAGAATTAAACAGTAACACATTTTTTTTTATACCATCCTTGGGTCTCGCCCTTAAAATGCTTGATACCTAATATGTCTAAAGAGCTTGAAGCTGCTGCTGTCCCTCCCTGGGTCACGCTAACATTCCTTCCCGTCCAGCCCCAGTTCTGCACAAAAGCGCCTCTTGTCCTAGACTCCTCCTCCTTACTCTCGTCTGACGTGACTTTTTACCCTGATCTGAAGGTTCTTGGGTTCAGGTTCCCTGATAATAAGAAGAAGGGACATGTACACTCTGATTTGCTTTTCCTTAATTCCTTGAAGGGGAGCAGTTTTCAAAGTCTCAACCCTTCTTCTTCTTAATGCTTTTATGCTAATGTTCAGGTGTAATAAAACAGGGAAGATTCCTAGCAACTTTTTGGATTCCTTTTATTGGCTTCTTTAGACTCCTAGCCAACTTCTCACTTGTGCTGTTTCACCAAATGTTTGACTCTCTCAAGCATGTTCTGATTTTTAAACTGAAGGCCTATTGTGAATTTACTGTCCTGGTGTATTCTAGAAGCGAGAAAAATAAGACCACCAAACCCCAGCAGATGATTTTTATTAGAAGTAATATCCTGTGTGTTAAATTTTTAATCTTTTATCTTAAAACAGGTTTATTAAAAAAAAAAAAAAAGAGAAGGGATACAGGAATGTGGAAATAACATGCCCAAACAGCAAAGAAAAATTACAACTTGAAATTATGTTAGTGTTGTTTTTCTTTAATTGTTATTCTTAATTGTGGTAAAATATACATAACAAAAGAATTACCATCTCAGTCGTTTTTAAGTCTACACTTCAGTGACGCTAAGTACAGTCCCACTGTCGTGTAACCATCACCACCGTCCATCTGCAGAACTCTTTATCTTGCGACCTTGAAACCCTGCACCCACCCAACAGTAGCTCCCCATTTGCTTGGCTAATATTGTTTTTAGCTAAGAAGCATGGCTAGCAGTTTTCTTTTTATTAGGGTCACAGTATCCAAGGGAACATCCTCAGTACGAGTTCTTTAATTTGCTGGTATGCCCCGTTGGCTTTGGCAACTTGTCTGGGTTCATTTAGCTCCCATTGCTCATGCTCAGGATGTGCTGTAGGATTGGGTGTTTGTGACAGTGGCTGTTCATGGAGGGTGAGTGGCAGTGCTGTGACCATTTTAGCCCTTTATTTCATGTAGTAGATTTCTTATGAAAAGAAGACATTGCCCTCATTGCCTAGGTGCTGCTTAAGAGGAGACAACATGGAGGTGTGAAATTGTGTGACCACTTGTCACTAATCACTGGCCTGCCTTTCTGTCTGGGCTTCAATTTGCGCAGTCCTTATAACCCAGGCTTTTAGTTCAGCACAAAGAAACGGTATAATCATCAAGAAACGAAAATCCACTTTACTGATGTCTCTGTAACATTAAGTGCTTGATGTGTTGCGATTGACTTTCTCTCCTACACTAAGTTTACCTTAATGGTGTTGACTATAAAAACTGATTTTTCAAACAAAAATGATTATATTACAAGCTATGCTACATAAACTAGATGAAGAAGATATTGGAAAATCCACTCGTTGGTAACAAAACTGCCTAATGGGCCTATTTAATTTTTTTTCTTATAAAGAATAATAAAGCTAATAAATGTAAAGCAAAAGTTTAAGATTTCAGTCTTATTTGCTCCACTTGATGGGATGTTGTGAAATTCAAGGAATACGATATCGTGTGTGACCGCGGTATATATTATTTAATAGTTGGTCACATTTTTGTCCTTCAAGTCTAGGTGTTCTTCTCAGTTATACAATATTAAATTCTGAGCCCAAACATTTAAACCAAATGCGAATCCTGTTTGTAATCCCCTGCTGAGCTATTGTTATGATAGTGACCTACGCGGGTAATTTTAAGTTGATATTTCTGGTGTCGCTAATTTAGGTGAAATAGATGATAAAAGAAATCTCCTAAAGTACCCAAGCCTAGGAAGAAGAATAATTTAGGCAAAGGAAATGAACACGCTTTAATTATTTAGTTATTTGCTCCATTTCCCAAAGTGTTCCGAGTCCCCACGTTCTGTGCCCTTCTGATAGATTCACAGTAACTTTCAAAACCTTTGAGAAAGAGCAGTACGTCTTGAGGTTAAGTGTGGGGGCTCTGAATCTGAATCCTGCATTTGCCACTAACTAGCTGTGTGACCTTGGGAAAGTCACATAACCCCTTCTACCTCAGTTTCCCTGTGTGTAAAATGGGGACAATAATAACATCTATCTTATAAAGTTACTGTGAGGTTAAAGGAGATATTCCATAGAAAAGGCTCAGCACTGTGACTGACACTCAGTGTTAGCTGCCGGTAGTACCAATGGTAGAAATCAACCAATGATAGAAAAATTGTTAATCCCTAAACTTCTTTAATTGCTTAACCGTGGGATTCTTTTTTTGAGGAACATCTGTAAATATCTCACAGAATTAGGGTTGTGTTGAATTAACTTTGAGAAATTCTACAGTATGTTATGATACACAGAATATTTCTCTATTTCCTTTTATTCTCTAGTTGCCTCATGAATATGATTTATTATTCTGTCTTACGTACTGTCTTTAACATAATGATTTTTTTTCAAGGTTTCTAGATATTTTCTCTCTTATCACAGTTTATTTTCAAACTGCTCTAGGACAGCAGGTATTATGTTAAGCACATTTTCTCCCTGGAAGAGGCTAGGGCTCACATTCACGTGGCCACTGAGTGGCAAAGCCAGCACTCTGCACAGCACCTCTTCCTTCCACTCTCCGTTTTTCCCTGAGGCAGTGTTGTTTCTCAAGGTCAAGCAGAGTCCATTTGTGTTTCCTTGTATTTTCCAGTGTACCCAGCACAGTCCCAAGGATAGAATAGTTGCTGTATACACGCTGGCTGGAATGAGAATGAGGCAAGTGGAGATTTTTTCAAGCAAGTGTTTGTAGGGCTCTTTAATTGGATCCCCCCCATACCTAGCTAGTTTTAGTGGCTGCGTAATTTTGAGGCTGCGTAATTATTTTAGAACATTCACCTAGAAGAATAGGAATTTCTAAACTCAGGGCAAATATTTGAATGATTAATTTTCTTTGAAATGTTAAAATTTGAGTACTTGGCATCCATTAACCCAGCATTCTAGTTACTGTCCCCTTTTCTTGGATAATATGGCGTGTTGAAATGAAAGTGATTAACAGGCTTAGTTATTTTGGAAACATTATCTATGATAATGAAGGCCAGTCAGTCAGGCTCTTTGCTCCCTCAGCTAGTGGTTTGACGGAGTCATGTGAGCTTTGGGTCCAGAAAGGAAGTAATATTTAACTCTTAGGACTAGGTCGTGCTAAGTCAGTCAACAGGGACTTAAGGGTCATCTTTTGTATTATTTTTTTCCTTAATGCAAATTATTCAGAGTCAAGTTGTCAGCGTTTTGGATATGTGTTCTAATCTCTAGGTGTTTGAAGACGGTAGTGAATTTTCTACATCCAGCTACTTCCTACAGTACAGTTAAGTGTCTAATCTGGATTTTGGGTAGGATTTTCTCAGTGGTATAATTGGTAGCGTATATGCTGACTACATGGTGTTTTGAAGATTGCATATATACCATTATTTAAGTATTAATTTGACCATATCTGGAGACAAGAAAAGAGGGAGGAGACAATAATTCTCAAAGGGACCGGTCTCTCTTCCTTTCTGTTGTCCTATTGTATGAAATATTTGCTGGGCAGAGGGGAGGGACGGCCCTT